CCAAAGGAGGTTAAGTTCAAAGACTAAGATCTTGCACAGTGCGGGGTGGGGGGGGGGGGGGTGGCGAGCAGAATCATAGGAGAGGCTTTGGCCACGTGGCCTGGCTCCGACTAGGGCCGAATTGCACAACCTCATTACACACCCAGTTATTCATGCTTCTCAAAGCCAGCTCCATCCCAGAAGACAAGAGGGATGATAACAGCTGAGGCACTGATCCTGAACTGTGTACAACAGGGCCATGTTCTAATACCCGCTTTGAAGCTTAGCTAACTTGGGAGAGCTAATTAGATGAACAGGCTGCAAGCACGAGTCAGAAGAAACAGGAGGAAGAGGGCGCTTTTTTCTGCCGATGCCTGTTTTATTACCCTGAACTGGGCAAGTACTTTAGATGCAGCTGAGCGAGTTGACTAACTGTCAGAGTTGCCACTATCATCATCGGTATACAACAATTAAATATTCTCTGGGAGGCTTCCCTGGTGGCGTAGTGGTTGAGAGTCCGCCTGCCGACGCAGGGGACACGGGTTTGTGCCCCGGTCCGGGAGGATCCCACATGCCGCAGAGCGGCTGGGCCCATGAGCCATGGCCGCTGAGCCTGCACGTCCGGAGCCTGTGCTCCGCAACGGGAGAGGCCACAACAGTGAGAGGCCCGCGTACCGCAAAAAAAAAAGAAAAAAAAATTCTGCAGATCTAAATCTTATCTTCTGCAGACGGCAAAGAACTCTCAAATCTCTATCAAGTACTTAGCAGATTAACAGCTCCTTTTAAAGAAAAATAATTACCTTCCTCGCTGGCACACGGCTGGAAGAGGGGACGGTCCGCAAGTGGGGAAGAATGCAAATCAGGTGCCTAAGCCTGAATAGCACAACTCAGCTCTGCCGTTTCCTGCTCGTGTATCTGAAGCCCGTGGAACCCTCTCCAATTAACACCACAGAAGTCTGGGACTTCGGGCAGAGAACTCAACCATGAACTGATTAGTATCCAACTCTTGCCAAGGGCTCATTTAAGACATCTGATAGCAGAGAGAGATGGCTTAACATGCAGATTAACCAGCCATTCCTCCAGATTCTCTATAGTTTTAGCCATATACTAAATTGGATCAACACAAAGCAACATTTGTCCTCCACAGTAACTCAGTTTCTTACAAAAACTCCTTCACACACTTAAGATTTATGCCTTCAGCTTTTATGGGGAGTGGATATAAGAAACATCCATTTAAACAATCACTTAGAGCGTTTGTAAAAGAACAGTTGAAAGCACTGTCCATTATGCTATCGAATGCCCCTTAAACAAAACAAGCGCATGATAAATTCAGTGCCAAGAAAAAGTTTGTCTCTCTTTTGTTTGTTTTCCATCATCAGAGGAGAACTGTATAATCACATCTCTCTTGCCTCAACTCTCCAAAACTTCAGAGGCAAATTCAGTGCTCAAATGCAGTAACTAATCCATCCCAACCATCTTGCAATACCTATTCTTTGATTTTTTTTTTTTACCCCTTTTGGTCTTGATTTTATTTTTGTGCCTCCTGCTTTAAATTGGACTTTGTTTTGCAACCCAACTTAAATCTTTTTGCCTTCAAAAGTAGGGCATCCATCCTAAGTAAAGAGATTTTTTCTTACCCTCTAAAAAATTATAGTCCTCCCAGCTGCTACAAGTGCTCCTGGACTTGACAGACCCATTCACATCATTGCCCTGATCTCTCTGGTTAACACGATGGAATGTGAGAAGACCCCAATCAGCTTCAACCCCTCATCTACTCAGTGCACCCAAGCAAACAAGAACAAGAACGACCCAGCTTTTAGGACTCTATGCTTTAGAGTTTCAGGAGTGAAGCTGATCCCCAAAGCCAAACTGTTTCCACATAGGATGACAATACTCGGGACAGACTCCCCTCAAGATGAAAATACTTGGGACAGACTTGACCTAGGGCCATAATTCTGTCCAAGCCATTCTAAACATTTCTTTTGAAATAAAAGGAACAAGCATTAACCGCTGCATAGATTCTACTTTCGAAAGATGATGCAGTAACGTTTCCCATCTCACGTGCCCTTTTTGAAATGTGACCTTGCTGGTCTCCCATTAAGAGATGGGGTCTCTTTCTCTACCCCCTTGAACTTGGACAGACTCTGTGATGGCTCTGACCAAAAACAGAAAACAGCGGAGGTGCACTGTACCAGTCCCAGGGATAGCTTTCAACTAGCCAGGCAATTCTACTTTCTGCGTCTTGGCAGCCAGCCGCCACATAAGAAGAATGACTGTCCTGAGAAGACGGTGCCATGAGAAACCCAAGCCACATGGACAGGGCCTGGATGAGACACCACTTGGGGACAGAGAGAGATGCCCTGGAACGTGGTGACAGGTGCATGAGAAAGCCATCTGGAAGGGGATCCCCAGCCCTAGCTGTCCCAGCTGTCACCATGTGCATCAGAGATGAACCCCATTGAGTTCTTCCCTAATTCCTGACCCTCAAAATTGTGAGCAAAATGAAAATCAGTGGTTTTCAGGTGGGGATTGGGACAGTACCTCACTCGCACTGTTTGCGGGGATCAAATATTTAATGCGTGTAAAGCCCTTGGCCTAGTCCCTGGCATGCAGTAAGTGTTCAATACACGGTAGTTATTATGTTTAATCTGTCAGGTAGCAAAATTGAGCATTTTGTGTAATACCTGCATAGGGAACTGGCTTTCTCAAGAGCTCTTCTGTGACAACATTCCACAGTCACACAACATAAGATGACCTATCTAAATAGAGTACATCCTGTCTTGTTGCCACCTCTCAGTTAGCCTCAGCAGGCCCCAATTTACATGTGGCATGGTATCCACATGCATACACAGACATGTTGTAGATCTAGAGAGAATCACACAGTGTCAAGCCAGGCCTGATCACTGCTGAGCGGAGAATCCAATTGGGAGGTCCTGGAGAAAAAGGCTACTGCTGTACTCAGGCCCAACTCACCTCCTGACAAGTGTCCAGGGAGCTGTAATGGTATGAGTCACAGGCACAGGGAAGGAGGAGAGATTTAAGGGGAAGACAGGAGAAAAATACCACTTACACTCCTGGAGGGTTTGCCCACGTGCAGTATCTCTGAATATTCTGAGCTGAACGATATTGCTTTCTTTGCAATTCTTCTTTTCCTATGCACATATCTTAACATATCCATGTGTTGGTGCTGGTTTATCTACCCATCAGGCCAGTGTTTACTGAGTGCCCATTACGTGCAAAGAACTGTGAGAGATGCGGGGTCTGGGGCCTTAGATCAGCCAGGGGAAAAGCACACTGACAGCTTTCGCAACAACCGTGTTGGATCCTCAGAATAATAACCAAACCTTTTCCCACAATTTAGTCTCTTTATTTCTTCCCACTCTCTGGAGAACACAGCCACCAACAAATCCCTTCCAGCTAAAAGAGCCCGTTCCCTCCCCGAGTTCCCCTCCTGTTTCCTGACAGTCTCTGCATCTCTCCCCCCACCCCCGGGGTTGCTGGGTGGGGGAGGGGTGCGGAGCATCCTCTCTGGGATCTGACAGCACCGCACAAGGCACCGAGGATCAGGGCTGTGAGGCACATTCAGCTCCAGGGATGAAAACTCTTCTTCTGGTGCTGACGACATCTGTTGTATTTTGAAGGTTGCTAAGGAGAGTTCTAGCTGGGCTAACATTGTTCCAGTTCACTCATGATGAGTTTCTCGCACGGGGTTCAGACGGCAGAAAGAAAAGCTCGCCAGATGAACCCACTCCTTTCACTTTGCAGATATCAAAGAATCACTTTGCTACCAGGGATGAGTAACGCCCCGCCCGGTCTCGCTCAGAATTGGACGGACACTCTGCTTACCCTATTATGACTCGTCTTCTCCCTGCCCCCTCCGTCCCCACTTGCCAACTCCCCATCTTTGCCAAATAACAGCTTATTAGGAAGAAACAGACAGTGAATGTGCCACTAGCCCAGGAGAAGATTTCACTGCAGAGACAAGGAAGAGCTGAGAAATGAGTTGGGGCTCACGGCGGGAGGATGTTTAGCATTAGACAAAGGAGGAAATGATTTCCGAGCCTTTAGAGATCTGTTTTACCTCCTAATAGAGCAATGCCAAATGCCTTCATGCAGGCTCGGAACAGTCAGGGGACAGCAGAGAGATCAAGCCTCACAACAGGGAAGAGGCTAACCGGCAGGCCTGTCTCCATCTTTGCCGTAATGGACTTGGGAAGCAAAGCACTCCACACTCCACCCGGCCCCATCCTGCCTAAGTCCACTTGCGATTAATTACAAGATAGTAACAAAATTAGGAAAAGTCAGGCCTGGAGGGCAAGCATTCAGGAAAATAAGAGATGGGGAAGGTGAGCATGGTAAAAAAAGAAGAGGATATGACAATGACCTTCACATATATGACAAGTAACAATAACATGGGTGGCAAGGAGGGCAACAGTTGAGGGCCACTCTGCTCCTCCCTTGGGAATCGGACGTGGGGAGCGAGCCCTCCAGAAGAGCAGGGGAAGCAGGAAGCCCCCTGGATTTAACTGGTATCTGTAAAAAAAAATTCATTTGGGCATTCCAGGGCATTCAGTGACAAAAACGTGTTCCATTAACTAAAGGAATTCTTTTTCTTCCCTGGGCTTTAGAAAAGCCCCAGCTCCTGCCAGAGAGTACCTAGGAGTCTAGGCAAAGGAAAGGGAGAATGGCGGTGTTCTCCCTCCAACAAAGATCCATTTCAAAGAGCCATTCAGCAGGGCCCCCCCCTCCACCCTGCAAATCTCGACAACAAAAGGAATATATATCCTCTCAGATGAGGGTATTGAGACAACTGAGGCCACATTATCTAAACATTTCCCTTGCCTGCCAGATTCTATTTCAGCCAGTTTTGTTTTCTCCCCCAGCTTGGGATCTATGCAGGAGAGAGTAGGCTTGTCCTGATATCAAGAAGGCCCAAACAATACAGCTCCCTTACTCCTCTCCATATCCCAGAGGAGGGATTAAGCCAGAGAGGTGAAGAGCCATCCCTCCAAACCACTCACCTAGCCAGGTCACAGCCACAGCACCTGGGGCCGACATGGCCTCTGCCACCTTATGCCAGCTCCTGTTGTGCCCGGGTGTCCAGAGCGCCACGTGGCAGAAATAGTAGCCAGCATTTTCTTTGCTAACATCTCGAACCAGTAAATGGTAGGAGCGTGCATCCACGTGACTCAAGGCCATGTGAGGAGAGCTGTGCACCAGGGAATCATGGTCCAGCCGAGCCAACACATGGGGGCCGGGCAAGATGCTGTCAGGCGTCC